GCAAAGAGGAATTGTGTTTTGCAGCAGCTTTTGTTACCACGTTGCAGCCATCAGGCGAAATGATGAAAAAGCCATTGCATACTTTCGTGCGCAGCCCGGAAATGCAAGCAGCAGCCGCCGGAAATGGAAATGAAAACTGCAAGTGGCAAGCGGCGAGCGGCAAGCGGCAAGCGGCGAGCTGCAAGTGGCAAGTGGCATCCATTGCCGCAGCAGGCAACCAACTTAAATTGTAAACATAAAACTATGCTTGCGAAATTGATTTGATTAAAGGCAACGCGTTTGGTCCTGCATGCCAAATAAGTTTAAGACGCACCAAAAATAAACAAGAGAGAGAGTCGCACCTGGAATACCCTTTAGCTAAACAAAAATGAAACAAGAGACGCGCACCCGAAATACCTTTTAGCCTATAAAATATAAACAATAGACTCGCACCCCAAATACCCTTTGGCTTTCCAAAAATAAACAAGAGTCTCGCATCTGCAATAGCCCGTGGCTTACAAAAAAGAAACCATAGCACCCGAAATACCCTTTAACTTATTAAGAGCATAGGGTATTTTAGTTCTAGACTCTAGTATGGCAGGAAAAAAAATATTGTTTCTTTATAAATATTAGACCTGACCCTTGAGTATATAGTTCTTGAACTTGGACCACATCTAGCTCATATTCTTATTGAATACTCCCAGCTCTTAGTCTTACAGTCTTACAGCCGGAAAAGAAAGGTCTTCCGGTTGATTGGTTTTACTTACACAAAGAGCACAGCTGCTGCAGCTGCCGCAGCAGCGGCAGCAACATGGCGATACTGCTACGTAGCGGCTGCAGCCGCTGCAACGGCCGCAGCGGACGTTGAGCTGACCAAATGCTGGCCGTGATGATGATGGTGATGGTGATGATAGGCGCCGTTGCTGCTGCTGTGTGCCGGCGGCGGTGTGTTGGGCGTTCCGGAGCGCGAACGCGGCTGCTGCTGATGATGGCCGGGCGTCGTGATGGTCGCCACGGTGGTTACCAGTGTGGGTGAGGCAGCTGAGTGTGCGGTGCCATTGCTGCTGGCGGGTCGCGACAGTTTCTGGTGAGGATTGGATACGCCTAGCGCTGACTCAGCTGCCGGACTGGGTGGCGTGCGGCTAAGGGCCAGCGGCTCGGGCGTTGGCGGTCGGATTTGAGTCAGCGGCAGGTGCGTAAAGTGGGTGCCGTAGCGCTCGATGCTGGGGTAGGTCAGGTACATGGGCGCTCCGCTCGTGTGTAAGCCGATGGCCATGGGTGTGTAGTAGTTGTAATAGATTTGCGCTACAATTCGGTTTATTTCTACACGCGCTGTGAAACGAATAGAACGCATGTCAATAAATATATTCAAAATATATGGTCACCCTGCCGCCGCTAGATGGCGCGGTGGCGCAATCAGCATTCGAATTAGATTTTAACTTGGATATGCTTGGATAACTGTTTATTACTGGGCCATTTTCGAAAAATGCATGTAAATACGTCAAATAAATATATTCAAAATATATGGTCACCCTAACGCCGCTAGATGGCGCGATTGCGCAGTCAGCTTTTAAAATAGATTTTTACTTAGATATGCTGTCAAAATGATTACTGGGCGATTTTGTGAATGTTATGTAAATACGGAAAATAAATATGAACTGTGCTCGCCCTCGCCGACTTTATTACTTATATCGTTAAATTTGCTGGGTTTTCACACTTTTCAGCGCACAACTTATAAACTATTGAAGCCATAACATTAACTATGCCCGGGCACTAAAAGTCTATGTCCCGACCCAAGATATGCGCCATTTTCTTTGGTGGCGCGCACACACATGGGTCGCCGCGGCATGCACTTTATGTGCAACCTTCGCGTACACAATGAACCCCGTTCTGTGGCAGAGTTAAGCCCCAACCCCCGTCGGAGGCAGAACCTTTGTTTGCCGCACCCAACTGCCCGTATGCCCCCCCACCCATTCACCACACCCCTCGACTTATCTGTGTGGCAAAAACTTTTCAAAATTTTACTGCTTGCTGCAACATCAAAATGCCAAGTTTTTACGATTACGTTGCTGCTGCTGCTGCTGCTGCAATTTTACTTAATTTTAATGGGATTTTTTCTTCCGCCAACTGCAGAATGCATTAAACAGAGCCCAGGCACACGGCAGTATTACGCACGAGTGTGCCCCGAGTGAGCCCCGGGCTAAACACCATACGCACATAGAGGTACGTGTGCTTCTAACTCTAACCTAACATTAACGTATTTGGCCAAGGTACAGTTAAGTAATGTCGGAGAACTAATGCCAGTCCGAAATAAAAAGTCGTAAAGCTTGAACAAGCCCGTGCATTAAATTTTGCCTGGTCTGGGATTAATTAAGTGAGTGCACATCTTGAACAGCAAGTCAAAGTTTTTGGTGAAAGCATCTGGCATTTTAACAAGCCCATTATAAAGAGTCAAAAGTATTTTTTTTATCTATTTCCCATATGCCCAAACTTAACCGATTGTTTTTAAATTAATGGGTTACCCTATACCATGTAAGTATCACGAATTTAAGGTGACCCTATAATTGAGTTTAAGCCGTTATTCATGTAATTAATTGCCTGGCGCAACCAACATAGTGCGTAAGTTACTTGTGCTGCCAGATTGCATATAAGCACGGCTGCCATTTAAATAAGAAATGTTAATTATACCAAATACCAATGTATTCTTCCATGTGATGCATTTGTAAGCAATAAAAAAATTAAAAAATCGTAATTATAAAATTTCAAAATATACATTATTTAAATTACTTTTACATTAAATTGTTGCACATACGGCAGCCGTGTTTACGAGCATCAGTCGTAAATCTAATCAATGTGGCAACACCTGAAAAGCCAAACTTGCAGAAATCAAAGTGTGCTAATTTTAAGTCTTGTGATAAGTATTGAAACAATTTAAGGTAAGCTCAATAGATTTGTGGTATTTTTCTTGGCCCTCCCCCTTCCTCTCCTGCAGGCTGCTTTTAATCAGCACGTTTGCAGGCCACAAAACCTTGGCAATAACTTTACGCTTGACTGGGTTAGCGGGTGACGCCAGATGACAACAAGAGCAGACGCAGCAGCGGCAATCAGCTAAAGCTCGGTCAATTTAATGGATGTAGCCATGTCCAGGCCACATTTATGACAAACTGGCTGCTTATTATTAAGCCAAGCAGCAAACCAGCCAACAAGTTGCCAGCAGCCAGCACTAATATATCATGGCTCCTTTTCTATAGAACATGCATATGTATGTGTGTTGGTGAGATGTACACTCAGAAAAAAAAGCTGTTGCAAATGATCAAAGCACTCGTATCGCTATGTTCTTCAAAATTCAAGTACATTTACTTCCGGAAGTAGACTGCAAATCGAACCCTTTAAAGATCTTGAAATTCTTTCCAATCTGAAACTAGAAACTTGTTAGCCGTTTTTATGTATGTGAGATGTACACTCAGAGAAAAGAGCTGTTACAAATGATCAAAGAATTCGTATCGCTTTGTTCCACAAAATTCAAGTATACTTTGTTCCGGTAATATTCTGTAAATCGAACCCAAGAAGATAATGAAATTATTTCAATCTGAAGCTACACACTTATTAGCCCTTTTTCGATGTGTGTATATATATATATATATATATATATATATATATGATGTCTGGCACAAGTGGCAGCTAGTTGTGGCATGCATGTTACTTGTAGAGCCGTAAAACGTCAGTAGTTGAATGACGAGCCGTATTGACCGTGGCAGTTGACGCTGCACATTTTTTACGACCCGCCCACAATATGAAGTCGTAAAGTTAAAATTTTTCGCTTCCTGCTGTAGCTGCTCTCTTTTCTATAGTATTTAATAAGCATTGGCATATAGTAGTCACTCTCTTGGCTCTCATTTTTTCATGTTTTCCCCGAATGCCAAGCAGCAGGAATTTGTAGTATTCCTCCCGAGGGCAGGGTTCAAAATGCATTCACATCATGATGAGCTGGGTCTCTAAAAAAAAAAAAAATGACTAGTGCCAAGTCTATTTTATGGGACAGGACTTAAAATATGACCGAAACAGGGATGAGGAATGTGTCATAAAAACAGCCGTAAGCTGACTCATTTGCCTAAATGGGCGTGAAAGCTCATAAATAGTGGGGCCGGGCAACGAGCTGTGAGCAATCGGTTAGAGGTTAGCCATGAGTATGTGGAGATCTCTATATTGATGGAAGGAAACCGGAAACTAGAACATTTCTTAGAAGCTTACTTAATTACTTAATCAGCTAGGCCAGCTAATTTAAAAAATTATGGAGAATTGTTTTTTTTTTTTTAAATCGTGTTTCCTGTGCCTGCACGGCTTTGCATCGGACTAACAAGCGTGTGGTCAATGGTTCAAGCCCAGGCAATAACGGGTTATTTGCTTCTAGTAATGAATATATATATATAGTTTAGGATCGTGGGACTGACTGCGTGACAAATCAAGGGTATCAAAAAAAATAAATTAACAACTTTTCGTTTGTAAATCGGTTTCAGTTCCCAAATTTTATGTGCCCCCTGCACCAACCTATTCGAGCATAAACACTTTTAAGCTTTATAGCGCCCACATTTACACGTCGCATTGCCTACCCAGAGTAAGGCCCCACTCCACACAAACATACGGCACCACTATATTCATGATATTCCCTGTCCCCCAACCCAGCTTGGACGTGTTTAGTGCCAGCAAACGATGCTGCGATATTATTGTAGCTACTACCTGGCAGCTTTTCCAAGCGGGAGTGGAAGCCGAGAGTGGAAGCTCGATGGAGATTGGGTTAAACTGAAGCTGGCAGCCTTTCAGTGACGGTGTTGGCAATGTCGTAAATTTTTCGCATGCATTTTTCGGTTTAATGATGCATTTACGATGCCAGCAGCGGCGACAACAACAGCAGCTCCAGCTTTAGCTCCCAGCTCGCAGCTCTCAGCTCTCCAGCTTCCAGCAGCCCTGAAGTGAAATGCTGGAACGTGTAACGGTTCTGGTGAAATGGCAAACAACTTGAAAAAGCAATCGTTACAATTTTTAATGATATACAGGCAGCTGATACTCTGCCAAAGACAATTTCCCTTGCCCAGCTATTCAGCTGGATGGCATCTACATTATTTTCGTGCTTTCACATGGGGAATCTCTCTCCTAATGCTGCGCCTTTTCTTTTTTGTTTGAGGAAAATATTTTATTTTTTTTTACATTATAATTTTTTATAGTATTTTGTTGTTGTTTTAACTTGGCATATGATTTATGAACTGCTTAAACCAATAACAATAATTATACATAGTTAATAGGTATACCGTTAGACATTACATACATATATAGACTGAATATCTGAAGTTTCTGCATTTTTACATAGTACAGATGTTGAAAGTTTTTATTAGAATATTTTAAAATTTTGCTGCTATCTGCACTGAAAACATTTCGAAAATCGCCACAAAATAAAAATGTTCTTAATTTCGGAACATTTTCTATTTAGAAAAAATTGGTCTTAAACATAAATTGTTCGATAAATTGATAAATTTACTAAAATTTCGAAAAGTTTGGATTTTTTGGCGATTTTTTTGTTTTTATTTTAACATGCATTTATTTTGAGGGCGTACTTTTTAGAGAGTTTTCTAATTTTGAAAGTGGAAATCTGTATTTAAATTTGGGCAAGTGCGAGATTAGTTTTGTAATTTAAATCTAATATCAATCTAAAGTTAAGTTTAAACAAATAAAATTAGCTTGAGTGCGAGGGCGCGGTGCTAGGCTAGGTTGGACTTAATTAGAATTTAAATTTAATTTATTTAAAAATGTTTAAATTGCAATTTGATATAGTTAACAAGTTTTGTGCTCAGATCTTAAATATGGTGCATTTATTCGTATCAAATTTAATTTTTAATATAAGATTCAATTTTCTAGCTGCAAATTTGGAATGAGTTTTTAGTATCTAGAGCATAAGCATGGTTATCTGAGAAGTTCTTGCCAGCCTGACCGCCAGACCGCGCCTTTAGAAACTTAAGCCTAAAGAACTCAGCTTAACTAAGGCTAACTTAGGAGAACTTAACATTAAGATTTAACTAAAGCTAAACAACCGTTGGATAGACTTTTCCTAGCACGTTTTCGCTGGTTGAGTTGATCTGAGGATGTTTTAAACAGCTTTTAACAATCAGATTTGACAAGAGATTTCGTTGCGTGTTGCTCTCTGCGGGTATGTTGATTGAAGAGTAGATCATCATCTTTATAGGGTATGTTGATTGAAGAGTTTCGGAGAGTGTCGCACATCAATGCCAGGGTATGTTGATTGAAGAATGCTGTTTTGTTGCGTGTGTATTTGGTTTGTTGATTGAAGATATTTCCAAGTGATAGTTGAAAGTTGCTCGCTTACAATAAATTCGAAATATATTTACAGAGGTTCCTTTTTTTTTTTTTTATTTTACTGCAACTCGCGCGCGTTTTTAAGCTTTAAGCTAAATATTAAATATGTTTTTGTTTTAAGTTGAAGTTGACGGGAAACAATAAATAGATAACTAGGCAAACTTTTTTTATATATATATATATAATTTTTGTATTTAGTTTGATTAATAGAAAAATTATCATCCACATTGCCGCGTTGTGTTGCGTAGCTCACCCCCGTCATAGATATTTAAATTGTTTTGACGGGAGTATTCATTGACAACATACTGGCCTAATGATTGATCAGATCGAAAGATATGTATCATATATTGTATTAAAACAGTGCACAGCTTTCGATTGAGCATACTTCTAAGACTATATAGGTTTTCATGTTGGCTTACCCTCTTCGATGCGACGTGAAGCCTCATCAATATCTGCACCAGCATCTTTTAATATCACATACATGAGCGGCATCAGCTCCCAGGGATAACGAAACTTCTCCAACAGCTTTTGGCAATAGTCTAGGAATACATCCTGGCCTGTAAAGGGAGAAACAAAATACAGATAAATTAAGGCTTTATGGATAATGCACAATGCGCCTATATCGTGCTTCGTTCTCATGACATTCAAGTATCCGGTCGTAATCAAATACAAAGTTCAGTCAACCCACGACTCTGATCATAAACAATTTAACTGAGACTCATTCAAGATATCAACATAAATAAATATAGCCAAACTGGAGCCAGTGCGACGCGGCGTATACGCAACGTCCATTGATATTATTCATTTTCAGCTGTGCGAGCGTTTTTTATACTCATTCAAATCGTGCGACTGGCAACATGAAACCCCATTCAAATCGCCGGACGCAGCTATGTCAAGTGTAAACATGGCGGTAAAATCGTGGGCACAAATTGCAATTCAATACAATACAATAAACGGAGTAGTATTTCTATTGGGACTTTTAGCTGAGATCAGCACAGGCCAAAAGAACGGAAGCTCTTGTAGACTGTCTGAGAGTGCACAAAAATGAAAAGAGTATAAACGAGAAAGAAAGGCTGTCTTAGGCACGCAGTTACAGTGCTTTGCCCGTATCTAAGAAGCACAGGGAAAAAAGTTAATGCTGAGTTTGGTGAAGATATCTTGATAAACAACAACTTAATTTACGACCGATCGTTCCTATGGCAGCTATATGATATAGTGGTCCGATCCAGCTGCAACTTTTGCAAAGTTTCATAAAGATTTAAAACTGAGAGACTAGTTCGCACAGAAACAGACAGACGGACTTCGCTATATCGACTCGGCTGTTGATACTGATCAAGAACTTATATTTTTCTAGGAGTTAAACATTTCACGACAATATTATAATGCGCTCTGCAAGGGTCTAAAACTGAAATATTAAAGAAAGCAGACACTAGTTCTGTGTCTTCAAAATTGTTGTTACTTTTGTAAATATATTTTCTATGTGCAACCAGTCGACACACTTTTTATCTGACAAACGCAAATTATTGGCAGCTATTTAAAATTTTGCTGAAGACAAGCCAGTATCAAAGAGTAGAAAACCCAATTTTCATTTGTTCGTTTCTGATTATTTTAACTGACTGACTGACTTATTGATTGACTGACTTATTGGCTGACTGATTGGTGATCAACGCACAGTCTAAACCGTAAGAGCTAGGAGGTTGAAATGGTTACTGTAATTACTTAAGTGCACGTTAAGGAAACTCCACGCTCAGGTGTGGAAAAATCGCGAAAAGGGTTTGCATGTAACTTTTTTATTTAACATCCAATAAGCTACAAACTTGATTTCAAATATCTTTGCTCAATGGGTAACTTTTCACGGTCAAATTCATTTGAGACGTGTTTCACATTTTTTGCAAAAAACAAAGATACTTCGAAAATGCGATTCTACATTTTGGTTTGATGAAGTTTTAACTTTTGTCCGATTTGCATCAAACTTATTTTGAAAGTTCTACATAAGAACTTAATGAATACGTGCTTCAGCGATTTGGGAAATTTCATCCGCAACATTGTTAAATAGTCGGAAACCAATTGGACGAAAGTTTTTTGTGTACTGTCCGATCGGTTTCAAACTCATCATTGAGGGACGTGCCACGGGCAAGGCTAAGATATAAGATATATATATATATATATATATGTTTTATTTGTTTATATGATTTTAGATATTTATATTTTCTTCAATTAGTTAATTATTCTAATATAAAAAATAAAATCGAAAATTTCTGCTGAATTTGAACTGGCGACCAGCCGTTTGCTGTTCCGACGCTCAAACACAGCTAAGCCACGTTTTGTTGTTTATGGTTTTTAAACAAAGTCTGACAAAACCTAGACTTTAATTCTGATTCTAGTATAATGCATACAAGAAATATAAAATATATATTTATTTTGCTTATGATAATATAATATGAGAATCGACATTTATGAAATTCGTTCATAAATTAATAGATTTCGAACCAAAATCTTTGTTTATATATATCACAAAACCCAGTTTTCTGAATCGAATCCAACCCAAAGCCAAGGCGTTGCCAAAAATTCTTGGCTATGGTATTGGCATTTAAAATATATATTTATTCCACATTACGTTTTCATATTAGGTTTATCTGCTTTTTACTTAGTTATGTATTATATATATGTATACATACATTTTATATAAATGTAATTGTTGTCCTAATTCGTCGTATATTTATTTAAATTTTCGAGTCTAATCTTCGTCTCTTGCTTCGTGTCTTAGTTACGCTTCTTCTATGCTCGCTTTATGTGCTGCCATTTTTTTTCTTTTTACCTACACAGCAGCAGCAGCAGCAAGAACAGCAACAACAACAACAGCGTGAACAAATGGCAGCTGCTGCGCTGCCGTCGTCGTCGTCGTCGTCGGTAGTTTCCGTAGTAGGCGGAGCTTCATAGTCATTGGCCCGTTTTATTATGTTTCTCTCTCTTCGCCTTTTCGCCTTTGCTGTGGCTGACGCTCTTCTTGTTGTTGTTTTTGTTGTTGCTGTTTTTATGTTGTATGCAACTGCTGCGCTGAGTAGTTGGCGCTTCGTTCTTCTTGTTGTTGTTGTCGCTGTTCGTGTTGCTGTGGCGCACGTTTTGCATTGGTGAGCAGAGTGTCTTTGTGTGTGTGTGTGAAACGTGTTTTATGCTTTGCGTGTGCAGCGGTTGTTGTTTAGTTTACATAATTTGTGTTGTATACACATGTACTTATGTATGTATATGCATTTTTATCTGTGTATGCGTTTATATAGATACACTGCTTGCACGCATTGCCTGCTGCTGTTGTTGTTGTTGTTGTTGTTGTTGTTGTATCTATTATAGTTGCTGTTGTTGTATTTTTTGTTCTTTGCCATTTTTAATTTAGTAATTATGCAATTAGCCGCTTTGTGTGTTTGGGTTTTTGTTTTCTTTTTATTATTTGCATTTATGTTTAAAAATTATTTTATTAACCGCATATAAATTTAATAAATTGATTTATTGTTGCCGCAGCCTTACGAACAAAAACTATTTGATTGGCCAATTTGTTTTGCCATTTCTATATGGGATAAAAATGATTAATTTTATTGGCTTAGCACTGATTGAGTGGATATTTTGTGCGGCTGAACGCTGAATTTAAATATTTGCTTAATTTTTTTCTTATAATTGAATCAATTAATATTGAATAGTGAATTTCTATACTCTAATAAAATAATTGTGTATTTAATTTTGAACTTTGCTTTGCTAAATTGGCAAAATATAAGCGGAAGGCTTTTAAGCTTTGAATTCTCGAACCTATTTATTCCTATGGACTTGCGATATAATATGTAGGCACGAAGTGACATACTCTTCCGAGCCAGCCGACTCGAAAGTATTTGCAAAAACACATGCGAATATGCCAAGTTTTCTTTTTCTGAAGAGAGCTTTAAATTAGCTGTCGATTCTGGGATCGGAGATATCTCTTGTTACACAATATTTATCTTCGTTAAACGCGTTTAGTGGTTCTGCAAATTCCAGCAGAAATTTGAATCTATATGATATGGAGATAGTATAAAAACTTCACTCAAAAATTGCTATGAACAACATTTCAATTGATTTATCAATATTCTGAGCATTTCTTAAAGTTCTATTCCAATCATGCAATAATTGTATATAAATGCGGGCTGAGAAGGTTACCAAGTGCAGCCCGCAGATGCTTTGGCAACGCCCATCTGATTGAATGGGTAGTGCAGTCAGGCCAATTGATGCCACATCAAGTTGCAGCTGCAACAGTGAGCGCCACACCCATTCATGGGCACACATTTACAGTTAGCCAGTAAACGGTGCCATTAACGCGCATAAACGAGCTGCGAGCTCTGCGCACGACGAGCTCAGTTACATATATATATATATATATATATATAGCTTCTTAGCACATAGATATCATAAGAGTATATATGCTATATATATATATATATATATATATATATATATGCTATATAGATGGGTGGTACTGCGGGTATTATTACTTTTATTACTGTGCCAAGCGCAGCTTACTCTCGACTCGCTGCACATTGCTCTCGCTTTCTCTCTCTCTTTCTCTCTCTCTCTGTTATATCGCTTTCTCTCCTTTTTTGGGTAGCCCAGCACTGTTTTTTTTTTGCTGCTCCTTCGTCCTCGTTTTTGTCGTCGTTTAAGTCGTTAGCAAAGTTTTTCATCGTCGTTTTTTGCGCCTTTTATGAGTTTGTATGCAACACGAAGTTGTTGCCGCTCGTGTTGCGGCTGCTGCAGCTGCTCCTGAAGCGCATCAATGGCCTGCCAGCAGAATCCTTTATATACAAGTGCCACTCTGTGTGTGTGTGTGTGTGAGCATGGATGTTGTGCCAATTGCAGGCATTACATTGCCCAGCCTCTTTGTTTTTGTTCTTTGATAGGGGCTTCGCGATGCTCCACTGTGCGCAGGCTGACTTACTCTAATGTCCGGGCTATACCCAGAATTCACACATATTACAAAAAAATGGCACGCAAGGCAATATAAAGCAAAACTAGAGAAAGCCCATTAACAAAATGGTATCCAGAATGTAAAAGGAATAAGTATTGACAAAGTTATGGATATTTAAAGCCAAGGAGGGAGAATTGTACTGGGTTTGGGAACTTGATATGAAATCAAGGAAAATCTAGAGACTAAACCAGGACCAAAATGGTATCAATCATATAAATTGAGCAAGTATTCACAAAGTTGTGCATATTTAAAGTGCGGGAAGTCAAAGATTGCGGGACTTATTATCCTGATAGGACAATATCCCTATGAATCTTGGGACGAAATTTGACAACAAATTATACAGACTCGGAGTGTCTTATAATTTTACGATTTATGATGTACTTGACACATACAATCGATTAAAATAATAATAAAAAATTTATTTAAAGGTATATTGTTTTTAACTATGATAAATAATCAATCCAGAGATAAAACCAGAAGCAAAATGGTATCGATACCGAATGTTGCTCTAGTTTTGGTAAACTTATGAATGCTTGAATTCTGGATGGAGGCGAGTCGACGCCAACTCTGACA